CATTCGCCGTGCGAGAATTGACGGTTTGCCGGTAGAGTTCTAGCAACGAGTTTACCGTATGCGTTATAATGTTTGCACCATCGAGCAATGTCAAAATTAAAAAAAAAAATCTCAAAAATTTCGTTTTCGATTTTTTTTTATTTATTCAAAGGAAGGATGTTTCTCAGAGTCTTAAACTAGGTTAATCATCGATCGAGTTTCCACTGCCTCCACACGCTTCCGAAATGCACGGCAGGTTCTAATAATGTAATCTGGATCCATTTCTCTCCAGGTACGGGTCAATGTTTGTCTGAGGCTTACTGTACTCGGGTGGCGTTTAGAACAGGCCTTGGCCTTCATGACGCGCCATATTGAGTAATCCAGCGGATTAAGATCGGGGCTGGATGGTGGCCACATATCCTTCGCCAAGAACGGAAGATGTTCCTGCAACCATTTCTGAGTGCGGATCCCTCGAACCTGTGCACGGAGCCCCATCTTGTTGAAATACAACATTTGGCTTCGGACCGTACTGTTCTTTGATCCACGGAAGAACATACTTAATTAAAATCCCGATGTAGACCTCCGTGTTGACCTTGTCGCCTTCTGGAATGAACACCGGGTCTATTTTTTTTTGCCATCGGAAGCCACTAATCCAAAAACCATAACGCACGGCCACGTCTTTTACCGGAAGAGAACTAATATACCGGTCGCTTCTGGATCGACGGTAAACATGCTCTCGTTGGTGAACAGGATTACCGGATTTTTTCGCTTAAGGAAGTTCAAGATTTTCTTGCCTCGTTCGACTCGTAGCTCCCGGATGCGGTTGGTAATCATGTGAGTTTTTTTTTCCGAGCCATCGACTTCGCCCCGCAATCTTCCTTTACGATCTTCCATGCCTTAAAGTCACTGATCCCGTGTTCCTTTGCCATTTTCCTTATTGAAGGGACTGGATTCACCCAAATCTTCCTTTTGATAGCAGCGATAACTCCTTTTTTTCTCGGTCTAAAACCCTTTTGACGGTCCACCGGGACACTCCCACGGCAATTGACATATCTTTTTGTGACATTTGCGCATGGGACAAATCACGAATACGCTGCCACTTCGTCATGGTGCAACTGTCAAACTAAGTAAATCATTTTCTTTTATACACAGCCTACTACGGTATGAGCTATAGGTTACGTGCATGCAAAGAAAATCAAGGCATTGTATGCACAGGTGAAACGGGAACCTTATTTGTACTAAGGTGCAAACTTTATCACACATACGGTGCACGGCTACACTAGCAAGGTTGTATTAGTGAGATCTTGAGGCGAGAAGTCAATTCAAGGAACAGAACAAAAGCGGATCTAGATCGAGAAAATTGGCTCCACCTACTTGCACGAACATTGACGACAAGTGACGGTAGCGGGCAAATGTTTAACACGGAAAGTGAAAATAATATTGGATAGCTTTATACAAGTCATCTCGTATAATTTAAAAAAGCAGTATTGCGAAAGTCTCACAAATATGTTCGAAAAAACATCTTAGTAAGCTCCACGTCTGCATATTAGTTGCTCTATAGAGATCTCCATATATAAACATGAAGAAGAAGAACCGAAAAGGTATCACGATATCACAGCTACTTAAAAAGGTAGCACGCAGTCTCATGCACACTTTTATGCATCTGGAGAACTCAAGCAAATCACATGAAAAAAGACTATTCAGTTAATCGTGTCCTTAAAGGCGTCCCTAAAAAATGTATTTTTGTTTTGCTTAATGACGTGTTCGGGGTAATGGAGATTCATTAGAAAAAAAATGATATTTTGCAGGGAGGGTAGGGATGTGTTTCTGAGTGGAAAGTAATTTTATCTGCATACAAAAGGTGACATTGTAAATTTTTCATTTGAGCTCTTATTCATTTTTTTTTTCCAATAGGACGTTGCCTTGACGCACTGAAATTATTTTTCTGTAGGAAGTGTAGTAGCTCAAAGTCCTACTACCGCCAGGTGTCGCCAATGTTCGTGCAAGTAGGTAGAGCCAGTTTTCTGAATCTAGATCTGCTTCTGTTCTGTGCAGCTTACCAAGCCAAGGACCGCATTTAATCAACAAAGTTCAGTACACCAGCATTTTTACCGCCCTAGCTGACGCCCCTTATTGGTTGGCTACCTCCCCTTTCAAATGAAAAAGTCTGCGCCGGAATACAATAAATTGAAACAAAAGCAAATCGAGTGTTGTTTAGTACACTCAAATGATTACTTCGGCAGTAGTCATGCATGATTAAATTCGAAATAATATTTCCAGTATTAAATTTCATTATTTTTGAATATTAATATATAATCAAAACAGATAAAAATTCAATCAAAAATTATTAAAATAGAATCAAAAATAAATTAAGTTTATTCAAAAAAGATAATTTTCAATAAAATCAACCATGATTAACCTGGGTTTCATATCAGACGATTAGTTTTTAGAAAGAGAGTATTAATTTTTAACCATTCGATATGATTAAACTGAGTTAAATGTCAAATTGATTAAATTTCAAGCAAAATGGGAATATTTTAATTTATCAGTGTTTTAGATACTATAGATTCCATAGATAAGCGGAGGAAAAGTATAATGTAGCCAAACGAACTGTCAGTTAGTGTAGCCAAACGAGCATGACGTCATCATGGTGTTGTTTGAGGGAGAAGTATTGTAATATTATGAGCACAAAACACTTTCCACTCTCCACATTCCGATTTATTTCGCGGACAACGGAAGAAGGAAAGATAAAGCAAACCATTCCTCGATACATTGTTGCAAAGATTTGCTTTGCACTTCATTTTAAACGTTTACGCACGAAACAAAACAAAACTGCATAACGAACACACTTAGAAATTATCGCCGACTTCGGTAATTTTTACCGAAATCTGAACAGCTGAACTTTTCGGTAAAATTTATGCAATTCAATTCAATTGCTTTTCAGCTACTTTGAAACTAAATCTCCTCTAAAATGACAAGATTTGATCATTTAAACAAGGTTGAACATGTTTTGATATTATTTTCAAATTCAATAGCCTTTAAAATGAATTTACCGAACACGGAAACAAAATCTTAGTGTGAAGAGCTCTATGATGGTATGAACTTTTTTCACGGATGCCAGTAAGATCATTTATTTTTAATGGTTGCCAAAACAACTTTTGGTGCCTCTGCTTATCTATGGAATCTATAGTATATTTAATGTTTAGTTGCCTATTTAACATTCCCTAACTCGATGAAAATCCCACTTTTCCACATCCCATACAAATTACCTAAATTTAGCTCCGCAACAGAATATTCTTCCTAAATCCAAGTCCCCTTCAATATTGAGTTTTGGAAAGATGGCTGTACTGTGTATTCGCACTTTCGAGTGTCAAAATTCGCTTATAATTTCTGGTGTTCTAAACCCCGTGCAGCCGATGTAGATATTCACCAGCGGCGTGTCTCTTTTGGACAGTGTAGATTTATTCATGACATTCCGTTGAAGGGAACAAAGATCAAACATAGAGGAAGTAGCTCAACACTAATCTAACCCGTTACCTCCTACCAGGATAAAAATAATCCAAACAAAGCGGGCAAAGATAAACAAACTTTCGACTTCCGGCTTCCTACCCTTCCTGACTTTCCAATCTAGCCCCTTTCACAATCACCCAGACGGCACAACATGCCATCCGAAAACTTGGCAATAATCCACTCACGTTCATAGCAGTAGGCTGTGCTTGGCGGGAAACCACCTCAGACCCTACATTTATGCAACAACCCAAACACGGTGGCCCTCATCGCCAATCGCCACATCCATACATGAAGCTTTTGAAGTTCTAACGCTTTCTCCTCCTCCGACGCCGACCGTCCAGAATGTAATGTGATGTAATCGCAGTAGGCGTTAGCTTCGATCGTATCGCCAAGCCAAGCCAAGCGTGGTGAATAATGATTGCCCGCACATGGCCTGCCTGATGTGCAGCTATTTTGAAGGTGAGCATTCCTTCGGATGCATTTTCGATCCGCCAAAAAAAGTTGCAATGAGGTAAAACTTTTCCTTACGACACAAAAATAAATAAAAAAAACATCGATTTACGTTGTCTTTCTTCTGCTTTCACTGGAATCTCTCTTGGTTGAGTTGAACATAATCACCGACCGTCTGACCTAATTTTAAATCAATCTAGATGTTCCTAACTACCTACTATGGCCTAGAGTTGTCAGTTGGAATTTATCTTTTTGTGCTAAATTTCACTACGATGTTTTTCCTTCTACCATATTTTTTTTTTTTTTTGCTCTTGTCGCTCTTCTATAACTTTCTCTCACTTCACTGTTTGCTTGTGCTTTTACGTGTTTAATCCTTTATTTTTAGTTTTGATTCATAAAAATATTACCCGTATTACCCGTGTATTATTTACACAGTTTAAACTTTTAAGTCAAGATGCTTTTCCACTTCGGTTCTCACTGTTTTCCTAACGAGATTTATGTTTATGTTTGTTTCAAACTTCCCGTCTTCTTCTTCATTTTCCCTTCGCCTTGTTTACAACTGTCCCGCTGAACTATGTATATACTCTGTAATAATGCGGGAGGAACGTTGAACTGCGGACTTCTCTCGATTTATGATAAAGTTTGCTTTCCACTTACCTTGCGGCTTCGGCTCCGGCATTGCGATGGAAGGGCTTTTTTTTTTGTTTTGGACCAGGAAGGAGAATGCTTGGAATGTTTGATGTTTACAGTTTCTTGTTTTCCCATATCGCATTTCGATGTCTTCCGGGAAAGGGGATTATCCGTAAGGCGATTGTTCCGGCGACGTGATGATTGTTTACATCATGCTGCCTAGCAGTTTCTACTCTAATCTAATCTAGTCGCATGGAGTTTGGCGGAAAACAAATAGGCACAAAGTAGGCTTTGAACGTCGTGAGCGAAAAAGTTGTCAAAGCAAATTACACGCAAAATTTAATCTGTTTGAAATTTAGCACACTGAATCAATCGCCGAAACGTCACCCTTCGTTGGAAATCCCCTCCCCCCTTACGAACTGTCGCAGAAATGTAGCAATCTCCTACCCCAGAAGGATCAAATATTTGCCCTCGCCAGACTGGTATCGGTCAAACTACTTTCCTTCCCACCTTCCGACCCTCTGCCTCCTAAGCCGTCGTCCCTGCCGTGCCCGCTTCCTGTTCCTCCGTACCCCGCGAACCCAGGGCTCTCCATGACCAGCGGATGGCAGATGTCGTACACCGGCACACGACTAACCACTCTGCCCGGCGACGACGAATCCGCCATAGGCGACACCGCCGTCGACGTCGTTGCCATGCCACTCGTCACCGCCGAAGAAGCATTGGTAATACTGTTGCTGCGGCCTCTCCGCACACCCGTACCGCCCGGACTAGAATTCGAACTCAGGCTCGGCGCAAACGATCGTCATCTGCTGTCGGAAAGATCCCCGATCGGATCGCTGTCGTCCCCAATGGACTGTGCCGCCGCCGATGGGGAAATGCTAGGCGTTCGGGCCCCGTGCATCCGGATCTGCGACATGTCCGAACCCCGGCGACTGGCCGGCCGTTGAATCGCTTCAGCCGAGCAGAAGAACCGACAAATCAACCGCTTGAACGCGAACCGGAAGTCCTTGGAGAAGAGGGCGTAGATCATCGGGTTGATGGCCGAATTGCAGTACCCGATCCAGAAGACGATCGAAAACAGCAGATCGTTGATGCAGTTGTCGCAGAAGGGCCGTATCAGGTACATGGTGAAAAACGGAAGCCAACACAGGATGAACAGGCCCACGATGATGGCCAGCGTTTTGGCCGCTTTGGTTTCCATCCGGAAGCGCTTGACCTGAGCTTTGATGTTCCGCTTTCCCATCCGTTTGCTGGAGCGTGGCGACAGCAGACTCCGGCCCTGACCATCGACCGTCAAATACTGACCGCTGCTGCTCTTTTCCTTGAAAGGCCTTCGGAAGATGTGCGACGCGTTATGCTCCCTGCCACCATTGGACGAGTAGTGAACGGCGTACAGCAGCTTGCTACCCTCCCCACCGGAGGAACCCTGGTTGAGGTTCTCCGTCGAAGGGTAGGACACGGAAATTTTGATCTTTTCATGATTCTTGCAGCGGGTTGTGTACCGCGACAGCCGTTCCGGCGAGGCACTTCCGATGCTGGTGGTGGTACTGTGGGTGCTTCCGTTGCTGTGCGGTGACTCGTGATGGCCGCCGACGCCACCGAGGGCTGCACCCGGAGCCCCGTGGGCACTGGCCGTCGAACCGCGGCCCCGGTGGATCCGCAGCGTCAACCGGTTGTCATCGAAACGGGTGCCCATGCCTGTATCGGTGGGGGTGAGAGAGGGAGAAAGGAAAGATGGAAATGAGGTTAGTTGAATCGTTCGTTGAAGGGGTGTCAGTTCGTTGCTTTAGTAGCGAAGATTGCAAAGTTCGTAGGGTGAAAAATGGTGAAAGATTCACCAATCGTTTGTTTATGAGTGAGCAAATAAGAATACAGTAAATTGTCAAATATTGGGCTTATAGCCCAAGTAAAATAAATGTAAACGTCGTATTCTAAAGAAACTTTTTCGCTTGTAGTAAACAGTAGCCTGCTCTCTTATCAAATGTTCTTCAGTGGATGAATTTGAATTCATCGATGCACTCATCGATGCTCTGGGTCACTAACTGATTGACAGCATGTCTCGCTTGGACGAGTCCAGTATTCTCCTCTAAAGATTCAAGTGAGAATTTTTGTTTTTGGTTTCAGAACTATCTTCTCCCAGAAATTTGGAGGACCTCCACTGATATCCAATAGAACCTTATCTGAAAACCTAGAGAACCACTGCTGAGATTGTGTAGAAGTTTTCAAGAAAATTTTGTAAAATCTCGCTTGAGATTGCGAAGAATCTCCTCTAAGATTCGCGATTATTCAGAAACGTAGATTTTCTTTTTAGATTCTGGAGAATCTTCTCTGACATTCTGGGGAATGTCCTCTGAAATTCTGGAGAATGTTTTCTGAGATTCAGGATGAGCTGCTGTTTCCTCTAAGATTTTGGAGAATCTCCTACCAAATTTCTGGATAATGTCATCTATTCTCCTCGGAAGCTCTAGAGAATATATTCTAAAATTTTGGATACACTTCTCTGAGATTTTGGAGAAGCTTGTCTGGGGATTCCGATAATCTTCTCCAGGGTTCTGGATAATCTCCTCTGAGATTTTATGGAATCTCATATGAGATTCTGAGGAATTTTCCCTGAAATTCTAGTTAATTACCTCTGATAATCTTCTTTTGAAATAATTAAGAACCTCTGGAATTTTGGCGTTTTTCTTCTGATATTCAGGACAATCTCTTCTGGGATTTATGAAAAATATCTGAGATTTCGGGGAATCTCTTCTGAGATTTCAAATTTTTTTGATTATCTCCTCTGATATTCTAAATAATCTCCTTTGAGATTTTGAATAATCTCATTTCGGACAATCTCCCCTGTGATTTCGATTTCTCTCCTCTAAGATTTTCGCGAATCCCTCCTGAGGTTCTGGACAATATCCTCTGAGAATTTGGATTATCTCCTCTGAGATTGATGGAAATCTTTTCTAAAATACTTGAGAATCTCCTCTGAGACTCTGTTAAATCTCCTTTGAAAATTTGTAGAATCTCCACCTGTATTTTATACATAACAATCTTCTCAGATTTTGAATAATCGGCTCTGAGATTCTGGAAAATCTTGAAGTTCAGCAGAATCTCCTCTGAGAACCTGAAAAATCCCCGCTGGGATTCTGCATAATCTCCTCTGTCATCTTGAAGAATCTCCACTATGATTCTGGATAATGACCTCTGAAATCTCATCTAAGATAGTGAAGAATCGTCTTTGAGGTTGTGGACAATCTCCCTGCGAATCTAGACAATCTCGTCTGAGATGTTGAAGAATCTCTTCTCATATTTAGGACAATCTTCTATAAGATTTCGGACATTCTTCCGCTGAGATTGTGATAAAACTCTTCAGAGTTTTGGAGAATCTCCTCTGTGATTTTGAAGAATCTCGTTTAAGACTCTGGACAATCTCCACTGATATTTTGAATAATCTTCTCTGAAATTCTAGACTATCTACCCTGCGATTTTACAGAAACTCTTCCGAGATTCTGGATAATTTCCTCTGAGACTTTCGATGACCCTTTTCAATATTCTGGATGGTCTCCTCTGAGATTATTGAAAATCTTCTCTGAGATTTTGGAGAATCTCTTAAAAGATTTTGGAGAATCTACGCTGAGATTTTGGAGAATCTCTGTGGAGATTTCGTGAATCTTCTCAACATTTTGGAGAGTCTCCATTGAGATTTTGGCGAATCTGCTCAAAAATTTCGGAGAATCTCTGAGATTTTGGACAATTTGCTCTAAGATTTTCGACAATCTGCTAGGAAGATAATTTCCTCTTAGATTTTCGAGAATCTCCTCTGAGATTTCGTAAAATCTTTTCTGAGATTTTGGAGGATCTCTTTTAACATTGTGAAGATTCTCCACTGAGATTCTTGAGTATCTGCTCTACCATTTTGAAGAATCTCCACTGAGATTCCGGAGAATCTGCTCTGAGATATTAAAGAATCTTCTCAGAGATTTTGGAGCATCTTTTCTGAGTTTTTGAGGAGTCTCCTCTACCATTTTGAAGAATCTCCACTGAGATTCCGGAGAATCTCCACTGAGATTCCGGAGAATCTCCACTGAGATTCCGGAGAATCTTTTCTGTGATTTTGGAGACTCTCCGCTATGATTCTGGATAATTTTTGAAATTCTGAATCATCTCTATTGAGATTTTGAATAATCTCTACTACGATTTTTCTAATCGCCTTTAAGACTCTGGATTATCTCATATTATATTTTGAATAAACTTCTCTGAAATTCTGGAAAATCTCCTTAAAGATTCAGGACAATCTCCTTTGAGATTCAGGATAATCTCCTTTGAGATTCAGGAAAACTCCTCTGAATTTTTTTTAAATTTCCTATGAGATTTTGGAGAATCTCTTTGTAAATTTTGGAGAATCTCCATTGAGGCTTAGCAGAATCTCCACTGAGATTTCGTGGTATCTCCACAGAGAATTTGGAGAATTCCCTCTGAGATTTTGGAGATTCTCTTTGAAGATTTTGGAGAATCTTCTCTGAGATTTTGGAGAATCTCTGTGGAGTTTTGGGGAACCTTCTCGACATTTTGGAGAATCTCTTCCGAGATTTTGGCGAATCTCTTCAGAGATTTCGAAGAATCTTTGACATTTTGGACGATTTGCTCTTAGATTTTGGACAATTTGCTCTGAGATTTTGGACAACCTGCTCAGAGGATAATTTCCTCTTAGATTTTAGATAATCTCCTCTGAGCTTCTGACAACTCTTCTGAGATTTTGGATGATCTTTTCTAAGATTATTTGTTATCTCCTCTCAGATTTTGGATAATCTCTTTTGAGGTTCTGAAAAATCTCTTCTGAGATTCAGAAAAATCTCTTTTGAGATTTTGGAGAATCTCCTCTGAGATTTCGAAAAATCTTTGAAGAATTTCCACTGAGATTCCGGAGAATCTGCTCCAACATTATGAGATTTTGAGATATCTCCTCTACAATTTTGAGGAATCTCCACTGAGAGTCCGGAGAATCTTTTCTGAGATAATGGAAAATCTTTTCTGTGATTTTTGAGACTCTCCTCTATGTTTCTGGATAATTTCTGAAATTCTGAATCATCTCTTTTGAGATTTTGAATAATCTCCATTATGATTTTTTTAATCTCCTTTAAGACTCTGGATTATCTCATATTATATTTTGAATAAACTTCTCTGAAATTCTGGATAATCTCCTTATAGATTCAGGACGATCTCCTCTGAGATTCAGCAAATCTCCTCTGAGATTCTCCACTGAGGTTTAGCAAAATCTCCACTGAGATTTTGCAGAATTTCCACTGAGATTTCGTGGAATCTCCACTGAGAATTTGGAGAATTTCCTCTGAGATTTTGGAGAATCGCTTCTGAGATTGTGGACCATCTCTGAGATTTTGAACAAACTGCTCTGAGATCTTAGGTGATCTTTTCTAGGATTCAGTATATTTTTTTCCTAAGATTTGGAAGAATCTTCTCTGAGATTTTGGAGACTCTCCTATATATTTTGAATACTCTCCATTGTGATTTTTCAAATCTCCTTTAAGACTCTGGATAACCTTCTCAGAAATTCTGAATAATCACCTTAGAGATTCAAGACAATCTCCTTAGAGATTCAAGAAAATCTCCTCTGAGATTTTGTCGAATTTCCTCTGCGATTTTGGAGAATCTCTTTAGAGATTACGGATAATCTCCTGAGATTTTGGGGAATCAATTTGGAGATTTTGGAGAATCTCCTCTGAAGGTTTTGGAGAATCTCCTCTGAGATTTTGGACAATCCGCTCTGAGATCCTGGATGATCTATTCTAGGATTCAGGATAATTTCCTCTGAGATTTTGGGGAATCTCCTTTGAGTTTTTGAAAACTCTTCTGGAAATTTTAGATAATCTTTTCTAAGATTCTGGGTTATCTCTTAGATTTTGAATAATCTCCTCTAAGACTCTAAGAATTTGGAGAATCTCCTTTGTTATTTTGGAGAATCATCTCTGAAATTTTGGAGACTCCTCACTGAGATTTTGAAGAATCTCCACTGAGATTCCAGAGAACTTCTCTGAAATTTTGTCTAATTTCCTCTGCGATTTTCGAGAATCTCTTTGGAGATTACCGAGAATCTCCTGAGATTTTGGGGAATCTAGTTGGAGATTTTGGAGAATCTCCTCTGAAGGTTTTGGAGAATCTCCTCTGAGATTTTGGACAATCCGCTCTGAGATCCTGGATGATCTATTCTAGGATTCAGGATAATTTCCTCTGAGATTTTGGGGAATCTCCTCTGAGTTTTTGAAAACGCTTCTGGAAATTTTAGATAATCTTTTCTAAGATTCTGGGTTATCTCTCAGATTTTGGATAATCTCCTCTAAAACTCTAAGCATTTGGAGAATCTCCTTTGTTATTTTGGAGAATCATCTCTGAAATTTTGGAGAATCTTCACTGAGATTTTGATGAATCTTCTCTGAGATTTTGAAGAATCTCCACTGAGATTTTGAAGAATCTCACTGAGATTCCAGAGAACTTCTCTGAGATTTTGTCGAATTTCCTCTGCAATTTTGGAGAATCTCTTTGGAGATTATGGAGAATCTACTGAGATTTTGGGGAATCTAGTTGGAGATTTTGGAGAATCTCCTCTGACGTTTTGAAGAATCTCCTCTGAGATTTTGGACAATCCGTTCTGACATCCTGGATGATCTATTCTAGGATTCAGGGTAATTTCCTCA